CCTCCAATTCCTTGCACTGCAATTTTAAAATTAGGACTCTTGATTTTTAGTGTCAGAAGTCTCAATACAAACTGGCTTATACAAAAAGAAAAAGTGTGTGCCTTATGGTGCAGTTTGGTGTAGAGGATCCATCAAACATTGTCACCTGGACCTGGTCATCTTGGTTTTGTCTGCTCTGTTTTCTGCTCCATTTCCTGGTACCTTCTCCTCTCTTATAGCATTAATAAACCCCAAGGCTTATGGGTTTGAAGTCAGTGGTATAGCATGAAAGTCTTTTTTCTCTCGGCAACCATGGCCTAAATTTCATTGGCTAGGTGGATCACAGGCTCATGCCTGAATCAGTTGAGAGGCTGAGGAATCGTGACTGTATTGGCTGAAACCCAGGAAACACACTGTACCCACAAGAAGGATGAGTCCCACAGGAGACACGGCAGCTATGAGAGGGTACGTAAGTGCCCTCGGAGGGACCACATCAGGCAGGAATTGCACCGAAGTACTGTCTATATAATGGTCTCCCCTGAGTTTGTAGTGAACCAGAATCTCTTGGAAAATGCCCAACGTCTCCCTCATCATCCACTCCCCTCTCTCTACACCAGTGGATCATAGAGTCCTCTTGATCTACTCTTGATCTGCCTCTCCTCTCCTCCCTTCGCCTCCCATCCCATGAATCTCTCACCTGGGATAAAAGCAGTAACATCTGAATTCACTGCCTGCATGCTTACATTTTTGTTTGCCTTCTGTCTGTGCTCCCTGTAGCCACCAGAGTGATTATTATTTTTTTTAAATGCCATCTGATGAGGTTAGCGCACTGCTGAGAATTTGTCAAAGTCCCATTAATTAAAATCCAAGTACCATATGACCTGCCTCTGCCTGCCTCTCTAGCTTGATCACTGTCTACCACCAATCCTCTCCCTCTGAGCTCTTCTAATTGCCATGTGTCTGCCTGTCCCGGTCTATCTCCGTGTTCTTCCTTCTCCCAAGGAAGCTCTTCCCATACAATGTGCCTCTCTCTCTCCACCCCTGCTCTCCAATTTCCCCCATCTTTGGGATCCAACTGTAATGTCACCTCTTTAGACAGGTCATCCCTGACTCTTCAACATTAGACACTCTCATGTATCCCACACCTTCTCTTTACTGCCTTTACCAGAATTTAAGTTTTATTCTTGTTCAGCACCTTCCTTCTCTAGGCTAGAAGCTTAATGAAGGCAGCAATCTTGCTATAACCACAGAGCTCCTGTTTGGCAGCTAGTAGGCATTCAATAAATACTTGATGGCTGTGATTCATCCTTCCTTATCTCAGATATGTGTGATGACGTTATCCAGAGGATTAAGTAAATGGCAAGAATTACCATAGAGTTGAAACTCTTGGGTGGTCTGGCTTGGCCTGGTTCATGGGGTTAAGTCAAGCACAGGAGAGAATAAAATTCCCTTGAAGACTCAACAGTGATAAAGTCGTATATGTGGTCTTACTTTAATTCTTATGACAACCTCTTGTGAGTTCAGTATATTGTCCTTTTTTTGTAGATGAGGAAAGTGATGGCTAGAGAGGTAAAGGGACTCCCTGGAACTCACATGGTTCACAAATGGTAGAGTTAGGACACCCACAGAGGTCACCTGGACTCTAAAATTATAATTGGAATTATGGCAAAGACAGTGGCATGCTTTTTTTTTTTTCTCATAACTCTGAGTAGGCCAAGGTCAAAAAGCAAAATAAACATAAAAGTGAAGTTCTGTAGATTTCATGCTGCCACTTGGAGCAGAGCAAAAGCTCTGGAAGCACCAAAATGAAGGGAGCATAGACTTTGGGGGAGCTCTATCTTCTTATTATTCATTTCAGGTTTTTCTCTCCACTGAAGTCAAATCAAGGGGTGCTGAATAGTCCTGCAGTGTGAAGGAAATAAAGACCACCAAGTCTTTCTATTACACGTTTGATGGGATTTATATGTGTTAAGAAATGTAGGCATAAAATTAAACAGGATAAACCATCCCATTTCCTTGTTTCTCCAGCCTCAATGATACACAAACTGTCTACTTCCTTTTCTCCCTCTTACCTCAAACACAGTAAGTGTGTATTTGGCACAAGAAGGCTCTCAAAGAGGTAGGGGGATTTAACCTAGGGGGCTGTGCGGGGGGGGGGGCTGCAGTGGAAAGCAGGGCTCAAGTCAGTGTGGAGACTGGTTTCTTGGTTCTTTCAAGTTATTTGTGAGGCTGAAGCTGAGGCTGGCTTGTTGGAGGGATTCCTGCTGATGTTACAGTTTGGAATTTTTCTTTTGATCTTATTTAAATGTCTCTGTAAAGTAAATCTGTGCCCCCTCCCCTCACATATGTATGTGAGAGAGAATAATGCGAGGGGGATGATGTAAAACAACTACCACAGGTGCGCCCATAGAGAGAAGCAGGGAAAAAGACAATTCAGCATTTGGGATTGGCAGTGAGTCCTCCATTCCATTGAACCTGGGAAAGGGGACACGATGCAGGTGTACGTAAACTCTGAGCTAATCCCCCACTGCAGGAAGCATGAGCCAGTTTGACAGAAGACCAGTGCCTGGCAGGGTGTAGTTAGATTTACAAAAGACCCAGATGGAACAAGAATCACCAAATTGTCAAACAAAAGGCTAGGAGTTACCAAACAAGCAAACCAACCGTAAAGTGTTTGGGCTCACTTAATCTGGAGAACATAAAAACCCTCGATAGGTAAAAATGATTCTGAAGTGAATTCATCCCACATCCTATACCTGGGTTTCAAACACCTGAACAGAGGCCAGGTGAATGATGTCCACATCCACACATCCACACTTTCATTCCGATGTTTATCAGACATCTGTTTAGGACCAATCACTGGTTATTTTGGATACTATGGAGGAACAGAGAGATCCGGTTTATGCCCTCACTGAGCTTGCAGTGTAGTCGGAAGAAACACAATGCAATTGCGACAAGTGCAAAACTTGAAGCATAAGTTGCCTGGGAAGCAAACAGTAAGACATCTGAGTAGCTGGGATTCAGGAGAAACTTCCACACTGCTGGGAGATATGAAGGATAACATCTGTGATGATCATAGTTTTATGTGTCCACTTGACTAGGCTATAACACCCAGTTATTTGGTCAAACATTTACCTAGGTGTTGCTGTGGAGGTATTTTTTATAGATGTGGCTGCAATCTATAATCAATATTAAAGTTGACTTTGAGATTCCCTTTGATGATGTGGGTAGGCCTCATAATAATCAGTCAGAGGTCTGATGAGCAAAAACTGAGGTTTCCCAGAAAAGGAGAAATTCAAGACTGAAGCATCAACTCTTGCCTGAGTTTCTAGCCTGCGAGAACCACCCCAGGAATTTCAGATGGACTTACCAGCCCCCATGACAGTGTGAGCTAATTCCTTAATTATTATTATTTTTTTTTACACACACATGCCCTATTGGTTCCGTTTTTCTAGAGAACCCTACTAATACTTGCCTTAGTCATGTAAAGCTGGGGGAAGGTGTGTGAGGGAAGATGAAAGTACCCAGAAAGGCCTGGAATGAAATGATTCTAGCCAGATCAGGAAGCAAATTATATGTAACACAGAGAGTCTGAAAAGGTTTTAAGTGAGAGGATCAGATTCACATTTCAGAAAGGACATCCGATTATATCAAGAGCAGAAGTCGAGAAAAACATGTTTCTGTTCCGGCAGGAAGGAATTCCTAATAAGGAAGACATTTATTATTATTTTTTTTAATAGGAGAAAAGAGGTGCTGCATCTATGCCGGAATTTAAAAAATAACTTGGCATTTTTGCCAAGCATCGATGGCCACAATTCTGCAAAAAGGTGTATAACGTTGGCTTTACCCTCAAGAGTGTTTGCGCTCCGCCTGACCTCCTTCGGGTCTGTGGCTTTCCCTCGGTTCTCACATCCGCAGCTTTCACTAGGAAGCTCTCCCTGTGGCTGGCGAAATGCTCCGACTTGGCCCAGCAGCCCTTCTGGAAGATAAAGTCTCTACCTCGGCGGCGGCGGGGGTGGGGGGTGCAGGTCAGCGGGGGACTCCCGCACCTGACGCTGCGAGGGGAGTCGCGCTGCGTCTCGGGTGGGGCGAGGGGACCAGGCTCTTCCAGCCGCAGCCTGGACCGCGCGCGCCCCCTTCCCCTCCTCTGCGGGTTCGGACCCCGCACCCCCGCACCCCTGCAGCCCAGGCGGTCAGCTGCCCCCGCGCGGCCATCGGCGAGTCCGGGCGGGGTCTGGTAGCGGCCGGGCCGGGGGCCTGATGCGGGGGTGTGCTGGGGCGCCCGGTTCAGTCTGACGTCCCGGGTCTCCCAGTCCGCGGCTCCGCGGAGAGCACCCGCAGCCCCCGCCCCCGCCCCCGGCAAAGGCGTCTTGCCCTGAGAGCCTCCCGATTTCTCTTCCACTCCCTCTGCATCCCCAGGTGCCTTCTTCACCCCCAGCTCCCGGTGCGTTCCCCATCCTTTCTGGTTTGGAACCTTCTTTCTGTTGATCAGAGCGCGCTGCCCAGGTCAAGCACCCTTGGGGGGGTGGGGGGGTGCTCATGACTCGACCACACTTCCCCAGGCGTAGGCTGGAAGAAGCCAGCAGCCCCATGCACCGACCCTACTCCAGGGGTCCCAGGACGCCAATGGGGGCAGTTCTTTCTCCCACCCTGGATGGGGCGGTGGGCAAGGGAGCGGAGGATGTCCACGCGCAGGGGTCCCGGGACCCGCGCCCCGGAGGAGCTTAGTCCCGCCCCGCGCCCCGCAAGGGGATAGGCTGGAGCTCCCTGCGCGCCAGGTAGTGAGAGTGAGACCGGCCACGTGGGGAGGGGCTGGGAGCAGAGGAGGCGGCAGGTGAGCCCCGGGGCAGCACCCCCCGCACCCCGCGCTGGGAGGCAGGGGCGACGGCGGCGCGGGCTGGGCTAGGAGGGGGTGTGGAGAGGCGAGCCCGGGCGGGGAGACGGAAGGAGGAGGGTGGAGGCGAGGGGGAGGGAGTTCCGAAAGGAGGGAAAGGAGCAGCGGGCGAGGGACGGGAGCGGCGAGCCCGGCAGGGAGAGCGGCGGAGGGCGGCGGCCGAGCTGCGCGCGGGGCCCGCGCCACACCCCCGCCCCCGGGGCCCGAGGGCTTCGCCGGGGGAGACACAAAGACATGCGAAGCGGGGCAGAGCGAGGCTCGCGCACAAAGACGCCGCCGGGGCGCTCGGCCGCTCGGGCTGCACCGACCGCCCCCGCGCCGCGCCGCGCCGCCGACTGGCCAGCGCGGAAGCCGGGGCGGAGCGCACGGCGGCGGCGGGCGGCCGGCGCGGGACCCGGGTCGCCCGCGCTCTCCGGGTGACCCGGGCCCGGCCGCAGGCGCGTGCGGGGGCGGCGGCGCCCGCGCCCAACTTGGCCTCGGCCTCGCCCTCTGCCCAGCCCGCCGGTGTCCCCTCCTTCCCGCGATTTCGTTGCTTCTCACGCTCCCCCCACCCCCTCCCGCGTCCAGCCCCGCGCTCCCCACCTTGTAAAACAAAGCCGGGGAAAATGCCTGCCCGTGCAGCTCGGAGCGCGCAGCCCGACTCTGAATAAGTGAGTACAATGGCGTGTTTGTAAAAGCTTCAAGTCCGTCTTTTTCAAAAAAAAAAAAAAAAAAAAAAACCAAAAAAAAAAAAAAAAAACATTGTGAATGCTGCATGCCTCATGCTTCCCAGCGCCTCGCGGGAGAGACCCGGCTATAGAGCAGGAGGTGAGACCCCCGGGGACCACCCTCCCCACCCCCCCCCCACCCCCAGCCGCCCTGCGCTTTCCCGCCCCTGCCTGGACTGGGAGGGCTGCAAATGCCCCGCTGCCGCTGGCAGACGTCCTCCACCTTCGTTTCCCGTCCTAGGTGTTGGGTCATAATCTCGGCTTGGAGGCAACCGATGCCCGGCTCCTCCGCTGGCTGCTTCTCCCCCCTCTCCCGCTGATGCCTGGGGCTTTTGCATCTGCCTCGGGGGGTGGGTTTGGGACACCTTGGGGGAGTTTCCGAAGGCGGAGGAGGGTCAGCCCTTGGGAGCAGCCGACAGGCAGGACGCAGGGTGACCCTGATAGCACTTGTTGCCCATTGCGTGGTGGGACAGGCAGTGGTGCTGAAAAAAAAAAAAAAAAAAAAAAAAAAAAAAAAAAAAGCTCGTTTCTCCTCCTATGGAGTCGTGGGCTGCGGGCCCCGGAGCGTAGAAGGCATATACCTGCGTGAGGATGGGAGACTGGGATTAAGAAGAGACTGCGATGTGCTGGAAGCGGAGGGGGGGGGGGTAGTGATGGTTGATGACAGTGTGTGCAAGGGACGACTCTTTGATTCCTTGTTCTAAGGAGCATCTCAGCCTGATCATACATCAGACGACCTGGAGCTGGAAACACACAGGTTACCCATGTTAGACTGAGAGGAAGAGCTGGTTTTTGGTTTTTGTCTTTTGTTTCCTTAATTTTGGTGTCTGACCAGTTGCTGTCCATTCTGTCTGCCAAATGTGCATTTATATATATTTCTGCTAATTAAAAAAAATAAGGCAATAGCTTAAAAGAATTAAACTTCATCAGCAAATGTATTGGCTTAATACACACACACAGTCTTTTTTGAAACATATCTGTTCCATTTCCCCCACAAGCATATCGTTGTTAAGTGTTAGTGTGGCATTGGGATTTAGGATTGGGATTTGGGTGCCTGTTCGAGTTAAACAGTCTTGGTGTTTTCCACTTCTATAGACTAGAAACACTGGTGTGAGGAACTAGTAGTATGAGACCCAGAAAATTGGTAAGGATGAGGCTTGGAAAGCTCCCTTCAGAGAGATAATGTGGATATCCTGTTATTTTTATTCCAAAGATGGCTTAATCTTAGATTATGACCTTTATTTTTCACTCAAGACACTCCAGGTAGTTTGGCGGTGGGGTGGCGTGCTAGCCGGAAGATGACAGCAATATCAGATGTTATCAGCATGTCTATTAAAAAAGTTTTTTCTGATAACTAAACGCATACCCAGTGCTAATCTTGAGCAAAGTTGCCTGTATAACTATTATGTGACGAAAGTGTCTACTAGTTTGTGGCTTAATCCTGAGCAGGTGACTGTGTCAGGAGGGAAACTTGTACATACCTGTATACGGCAGGTTGAACCACTGGAAATTGCTGAAATGAGCAATTCAGTATGTATGTGGAATCTCCACTCAGAGCCATGGGTACAGTTGCTTCATTGGAGCTCTGACTTCTCTTTAAAGTCAGAGCCATTCGGGGCTCTGCTGGTTTGAGGAGCCCTCTGTTATGTGCCACCACTGTACAACGCTACTTATGTCAAGTGCTTCAAGTAGCTTTGTTTGCAAAGCTTCTTTGGGATGGGGAGCTGAAGATTTATTTTATGAACTCAAACTGTGGTTGTCCTACGTCAACTCAGAGGTAGTCAGGGGGGGCACGGTATCTGGCCCTGTGAAAACTCTTTCTCCAGTCTCTTCTTATCCTCAAGTAATTTCAGGTTCACTGTAGGGTACTCGGGTGCAATTCCATAGGGAGTCTCACATACTAACCTAAAAGTGTCTTTTAGATTCGGTTATTATTTTATATCAAACCTGTATTATGTCTACCGGAGGAATTTTACTTCTGTCTCTAACAATAGTGGACTCTAAACTGATTGTTCTGGTTGAGTTGGTTTTTTTTTTTTTTTTAAGTTCCTCTGTTTTTGTTTTTGTTGTTGTTGTTGCTGCTGCTGTTTTCTGCTACTCTTTTAACCTTTTTGGTTCAATGTTGTCTTTCCAATCAAACATTGTGCAGTAAATAGCTTATTTTCCCCTTAGCAAGTTTGAAGTCTAGGATCTTTGTATTTTCTCAAAAGAAATCCATTAATGATGTTTTTGAACAGCTAAGATAAATAATAAATGGATTTACAGTCACCTCAGAGTATATGGGAATTTGTAAGAGAACACATAAATCCACTCTAATGGAGCAATTAGCTTTGTGCACAGCATGGAGGGTCTAAGGTGTGAGATAAGGTTTTACTTTTTTTTCTGGATAATGTTCCCTGTTGAAATGGAAGGAACTTGTCATGTCTTGGCTGTACCTAGGATGGTGCCAGAAAAGGTAGCAGTACTTTTGTTTTTTTCAAGATGTCAGAGATCGAATAGCAAGATACAGAGAACGTTTAATCATGAACCACTTCAGAGGGTAGGTGAAAAGAAATGATTGGGCAATCGAGTGGTTTACTTACCATCATGTTTTACCAGAAAGTGACTAATGGTTTACTTTGAGCAACAGTGTTTGGATCACAAATTCTCCTGTAATACTATCCCTTTATGACAATGAATTTCTCCATAAAAAATAAAGAATATTCCCTATGTTGGTTGATGCTGGTATAGAGGGTTAAGTTCTTGAGGACAGGAATAATCCGTGCACCTTCTTCATGAAAATGCATGAGATAGTTTAATACGATCAACTCTTAGCAGTCTTTGTTGACTAGCCTAGTGAACGGATGTAAATTTTACAATTAATTAGGAAGACCTCAGGCATTTATTTATTTATTTATTTATTTATTTATTTATTTATTTATGTTTCTTGGTCCACCTCCTTTTTCTTCCTCCCACCTGGAACCCCAGTAGCAGCAGAGAGCTGAGACCCAGCCCCTTTGCCTTGAACCTATATATGAGGTCCTGGGTGCGACCCAGTGGGAGCACTCTGGTTGGTTCCAGAGCTTCCACCAGGAGAGCGGTGGAGTTCACTCAGCCTCTGCTCAGCCCCTCAGGAAGCCGGGCCTCGACCCCCTGGCCGCTCCTCCAACCTAACCTTCATTCTCTGTTGTTGTCAGTGGCGGCACCCGACTTGCTGGATCCTAAATCTGCCGCTCAGAACTCCAAACCGAGGCTCTCGTTTTCCACGAAACCCACAGTGCTCGCGTCGCGGGTGGAGAGTGACACGGCCATTAATGTTATGAAATGGAAGACGGTCTCCACGATTTTCCTGGTGGTTGTCCTCTATCTGATCATCGGAGCCACCGTGTTCAAAGCGTTGGAGCAGCCTCATGAGATTTCGCAGAGGACCACCATTGTGATCCAGAAGCAGACATTCATTTCCCAACACTCCTGTGTCAATTCGACTGAGCTGGACGAACTCATCCAGGTAATGATGGCACAGAGGAGTTGTTACCCGGCTTCCTCTGCGGGAAAGAAAGTCACAGCGAGCCGAGGCTCCCTGTGGCACAGAGGCCTGCCTGTGGGGCCCTTGTTTGCTTGCTCCTTAGCATTGACTTGTTTCAGATTGTTCCCTCCTTTCTTTCTGCGCTTTTCTTCTCTTACTTCTCTCCCTTTTCTTTTTCTCCTTCTCCTTTGTTCCTCCTTCCTTCTGTTCCTTCATATTCTCTTCTGCTCCTTCTGTCCGGGTGTCTCCCTGATTTGTCCTTCTCTGCCCTCTCTCAGACCTGCCAGGGGCCACCCGTGGACATGGGGCTGCCTTGCCGGAGGCCCTTGGGGTTAGATTATCATTGTCGACTGTGAAACATTGCTGTGGCAAGTGAGGGGAAGAGCTAAAGCAGAAGAGTGGCTTTAATCTTGCCAGGGGGCATCACTAGATCGAAGAGATAAGTTTGTGGGGTGACGCTCTTGAGATGCGTCCCTCTCTTGGGCACTAAGTTGAAGCTCACGCCTTTAACCGAATCAATGTAGAACTCTTGAACTGCCTTTTTGGGTTCTAGAGAAATGATTAATCCTTGCTTCTCTAAACCCCAACTCAAAAAAAAAAAAAAATAAAAAAAAAATAAACCCCAACTCAAAGCAATTTACTATGACACAGAAAAACAGAGTTTTTGAGTGTGAGACAATAATTTCGTTTTCATGTACTCTACAAGGGCTGACCCGTGTTCTTATGGAAAATATTTTGCTTTGAAAGTGAATCACAGTATGATTTAAAAGTTTCAGGTAGGCTCCTTGGAGATGGCTGTATTTTTGTTGTAGATTTCTCTTACATGAAACAGTTCAGTGATCAAACCAAGAATCTGGTCAGAAGACAGCCCTAGAATGTTCTTTCAAGGAGCGATCTATCTGACTGGTTGTGGAAAACCCTTCTAATTGTACAGATATTCATTTTCCTATAGAGCCTACTTTGCTTAACTGGTGTAAGTCAGATTGGACTGAAAAGTACCTGAGGCATCCAAACACGTTCTTCCTCATATTATATTTGGTTTTACATCCTTTGAATGAGTTGGAATAGTAGATCAAAGGAGGAAATTCCTACTGGTTTTAATCCCGTTTCCTACCCGGAGACCTTTTCTCTCTAATTTCCCTTTTGGCATGGATGCCCTGAGTGCTACCTCTGCCCTCCACACGGCTCTCTGTTTGTAGACCACACGTACAAGTTCTTATTCAAGCTTTACTGAAAGCTATCAAAGATTGTATTCTCTCAATCTCAGTTAGCTCCTACTATAGTCAGACACTTCTGCATCTCAACTGTTTGACTTAGATTTTGAAAAGACTCTTCAGATACTTTTATACTGAATTCTCCACTATTTTTAGATGATGGCAATATTTCCAGTATTGACAGTGAACCTGCCACCCCATTGCCTGTTCCTACAGAAGATCACTTTCACTTTGCTCTCGTTTCTGTGCCACAGAATTCTAAGAGGTACTAAAAAATCTTAAAGAATTCCCATTTCCCTAGGGCTTTAAAAGATGAGCTCTAAGTTGTCCTGGAAGTAGCATCAGGTAGTGGTAAAAGCCTAAACATTGGAACCAGAGAGAATGTGTTTTAAACTCCAGTTGAGCACTTTTCTAGAGGTGTTCTACTTTCTAGAATAAGTAACTTTGCTCTCAAAGCCTTCAGTGATCTATCTGGAATGCGGAAAGAAGATCTGTCAGACGGGGTTGCCCTGAAGAGTAAAGAGATAATCCCCATAAAGCATTTAGGATGTCACAAAGTGTTAGGTTTGTTTGCTGTTGTCCCTCACTCCCTTTGCCCCACCCCCACTCCATCCCTTTATTGGGTTAAAGTATCTGATTCTGGCAGTTGCATTCTTAGCATCTGAAGTGGTGTCTTGGGTTTGGGGCAGGGGAAAAAAAATGCCTGGAATTTCAGGACAGTGCTGGAGGAAGCCCTGTGTCAATTTGAAAAATGGTCCCACTGTTCAATACTACCTAGATTGATTCATAAGTGTGAAAATAACTTGAAGGTCATGACAGGTGGAGACAATCTGGAGGTGGAAACTGATCATTTTTGCTCTATTGTTTTTGGAGTGGGTACAGACAGAGCTCAACAATGACCTAACCTTTTTCTTTCCGCCCCACACAGGAATCTGTTTTAGCTTTATTAATATTCACTCTGCTGATGAGAATCTTTGCTTTTTAAAGATCTCAAGTATTTTTGTGCTTATTCAGAAGTCTGTTATTTACTGTCATGTCACTCATCTTTATAAATCCATGGCTTTAATAAATTATTTAATTCTCTTTGAATAAAGTTTCTTCTGATAAAAGAAATGTTTATAGTGGCATGGCTTCAAGGCTCAAGATCAGTATTTAAATAGGGAGGAAGGCAAATGATCCAGTAATCTTGTATCAGAATTACATTACATTCATATGATTCTTGTCAATTTTCCCACATTTGTTTTACCATTTAATCATCCCTTAAAACCTCCTCGTGAGTAGGTATGTTAGACAGTGATATTACAGCATAAGGATTAGAGAGCTAACAGTCCCAGGGACTGATGCCAAGATAGCATTATGAGGATGCGAGTTTAGGTCTTCAGAACCTTGATCTGCTGTTATTCCCAGGAGTCTCTGCTCTTTCAGGGTTCAATATTTTTCAGTGCTGAGAGAGGGAACCAGGTGAAGAAGTTAGAAGTTCAGTCCTGGTCTTGGTGGAGAAGACTTCTGGATTCCTTTTTTGAAGAGTGGGGAAGGAGGAAGAAATGGGTAGCAAGACTGTAAGGCCAGGGTCAGGTACAGTTAATCTAATTTGGCCCCGGGGCCCCAGGTTATTAATTACACCTCTGGATGAGTTATGGTAACCTCATAACAAGCTGTGCTTGCATCACAGGGTGGAGGAAGCGAGGGAGGAGAGAGAAGAAAACAGAGCTTTAAGGCTCCTGAGAGCAACTGCTTCTTCTGCTACATAGTCCCACCTTGTACTTCCCTTCTGAGCACTGTCTTGACATCAGCCCTCCAAGGCAACATTGAGGATTGAGGAGGGGGCAGAGATATCAAGACAAAGGAATCTAAAGGGCCAACGTATTTTGAACGCTTTGATTCTCAACATCCATTACATTTAAGTTAGTGTAATGTCAGTGCAAGAAAACATAGGGGAACACTTTGAAGTTTTAAGAGTCATGAATACCATTAACAATAGCCAAAATTTAATGAGCACTGACTTCGTGCAAGGCACTATTCTAACCTTTTATGTGTATTGTCTCATTTAATTCACACACAACCGTATGAGGTAGGTGTCCTATTAACTGCATTTAACTGAGGTGCATATGAGGCAGAAGGAACTTAATTTTCTAAGAGTACAAAGTGCTTGAGTGCACTGTTATTTAAACCTTAAGTGGACAGACTCCAAAGCTTATGCTCTCAGCTCCTGTATTTACTGCTTCTAAAAAAACTAATAAATGTTAATTTTGCTGTAAAGCTTTGTGTTATTCCATGTATTAGACTGGAATGAATATCAAATTACAATCCTCTGTACATAGTGATGTATATTATATAACATATCTCTTCCTCCATATAAGAATGAAGAGTATATAACCTGAGATTTTAATTTTTGTTTTTTTGAAAAAGAGACAGTGCTCATAGGCAAGGGGAGGGTAGGGACAGGATGGGCAGAGACAGGAAGAGAGAATCCCAAGCAGGCTCCACATTAAGTGCAGAGCCCAGTGCTGGGCTTGATCTCATGACCGTGAAATGATGATCTGAGCTGAAATCAAGAGTCAGACGCTTAACCAACTGAGCCACCCAGGCACCCGTATAACCTGATTTTGAATATTCTTTTTAGAGAATATTTCCTGGTTTTCTCCTGTTTGAATGTGGTAAAACCAGGAGAGACATGGTTATGTTAGATACACCTGATCTTCAATCTAGTTATTTCCATATTTGCTGAATCAGTTCTGGGATTTAAAAATAGGGCAAAATCTATGATCTCTATGCTGATAATAATTATTTTCTCACTTGATCCACACAACCTCTGTGAGGTGTAAGTAGGGAAGGTATTCTCTGCAGTTTTGGGTGAAGAAATGGCCACGTTTGTGTGAAGTCATGTGGTCTCAGGACTAGATCTTTTGGAGTCCTTCTCCTGAGGTAATTATGTTCTCTTTGCGCTATTCCTTTTTCTTAGTTTGGTTTTTACTCCTTCATTCAGGGGCATTTGTTGAGCACTTCCCATGTGTTGGAGAGTATCAGTGCAAGTAAAATGATTGGAAAAAACATCTTAAGCACTCCTTCCTTCAAAGTCAAGGGCAGAGACCACTATAAACACAGCTACGATAGAAGTTTTTTAGAGATTGGAGCTAGACTACTGAGGAAGAGATGAACCACTTAATAAGAGATAGGAAGACACACAGAAGAGGTAAAAATGGAAATCGGATGTTAAGCGTGGAATCAGAAAATTTTAGGGGGAGGCAAAGGGGATCAGCAGATGTTCTAGGCAGAAGGAGCATGAGGAGCTCCAGTGACCGAATTATCTAGATTGAGGAACAGGGGCATCAGCAACTGTGACAAGGTAGAGCAGGGCCTACGGTGCCATACCAGGGAGGTGGGCTTTATCCTGAGCCCATTCTCTATCTGGGGTGGCCGTGACTTCGGTGCACTTGGTTGTGTACCTGGAGCTGCACGCCTTCCTAGAAAGCCAGTGAACTTTCAAAACAAAACCAAAAACATTGTTTTGTATTAATTATATGAACATTCATTCACTCAAAAGCATTTAGTGAATTCCTGCTGTGTGCATTGTCTCAGGCACAGAAATACCATGGAGAATAAAAGAGATGAAACTTCTTGCCCTTACAGAGATTCCATGCTGCTGAGGGAAGATAGTATGTTAGATAGTGGTAAGTCTCAGAAGAAAAAACAAAGCAGTGAAAAAGGATAGGAAATGTTGAGTGGTATTGGTGATTAATTTTACATAAGGTCACTGGGGAAGCCTCA